AGACTGGGCAAAAATGGCCTGCATGGCAGAGTTCCAAGACGAAAACCACTGCTGAGCAAAAAGAACATTAAGGCTTGTCTCATTTTTGCCAGAAAACATCTTGATGATCGCCAAGACCTTTGGGAAAATACTCTGTGGACTGACGAGACAAAAGTTGAACTTTTTGGAAGGTGTGTGTCCCATTACATCTGGCGTAAAAGTAACACCGCATTTCAGAAAAAGAACATCATACCAACAGTAAAATATGGTGGTGGTAGTGTGATGGTCTGGGCCTGTTTTGCTGCTTCAGGACCTGGAAGACTTGCTGTGATAAATGGAACCATGAATTCGGCTGTCTACCAAAAAATCCTGAAGGAGAATGTCCGGCCATCTGTTCGTGACCTCAAGCTGAAGCGAACTTGGGTTCTGCAGTAGGACAATGATCCAAAACACACCAGCAAGCACCTCTGAATGGCTGAAGAAAAACAAAATGAAGACTTTGGAGTGGCCTAGTCAAAGTCCTGACCTGAATCCTATTGAGATGCTGTGGCATGACCTTAAAAAGGACAGTTCATGCTCGAAAACCCTCCAATGTGGCTGAATTACAACAATTCTGCTAAGATGAGTGGGCCAAAATTCCTCCACAGCGCTGTAAAAGACTCATTGCAAGTTATTGCAAACGCTTGATTGCAGTCGTTGCTGCTAAGGGTGGCCCAACCAGTTATTAGGTTGTAGGGGGCAAACCCTTTTTCACACCACTGTGTATACAGTGGGGGAAAAAAGTATTTAGTCAGCCACCAATTGTGCAAGTTCTCCCACTTTAAAAAGATGAGAGGCCTGTAATTTTCATCATAGGTACACGTCAACTATGACAGACAGATTGAGGGGAAAAAATCCAGAAAATCACATTTTAGGATTTTTAATGAATTTATTTGCAAATTATGGTGGAAAATAAGTATTTGGTCACCTACAAACAAGCAAGATTTCTGGCTCTCACAGACCTGTAACTTCTTCTTTAAGAGGCTCCTCTGTCCTCCACTCGTTACCTGTATTAATGGCACCTGTTTGAACTTGTTATCAGTATAAAAGACACCTGTCCACAACCTCAAACAGTCACACTCCAAACTCCACTATGGCCAAGACCAAAGAGCTGTCAAAGGACACCAGAAACAAAATTGTAGACCTGCACCAGGCTGGGAAGACTGAATCTGCAATAGGTAAGCAGCTTGGTTTGAAGAAATCAACTGTGGGAGCAATTATTAGGAAATGGAAGACATACAAGACCACTGATAATCTCCCTCGATCTGGGGCTCCACGCAAGATCTCACCCCGTGGGGTCAAAATGATCACAAGAACGGTGAGCAAAAATCCCAGAACCACACAGGGGGTCCTAGTGAATGACCTGCAGAGAGCTGGGACCAAAGTAACAAAGCCTACCATCAGTAACACACTACGCCGCCAGGGACTCAAATCCTGCAGTGCCAGACGTGTCCCCCTGCTTAAGCCAGTACATGTCCAGGCCCGTCTGAAGTTTGCTAGAGTGCATTTGGATGATCCAGAAGAGGATTGGGAGAATGTCATATGGTCAGATGAAACCAAAATAGTTTTTGGTAAAAACTCAACTCGTCGTGTTTGGAGGACAAAGAATGCTGAGTTGAATCCAAAGAACACCATACCTACTGTGAAGCATGGGGGTGGAAACATCATGCTTTGGGGCTGTTTTTCTGCAAAGGGACCAGGACGACTGATCCGTGTATAGGAAAGAATGAATGGGGCCATGTATCGTGAGATTTTGAGTGAAAACCTCCTTCCATCAGCAAGGGCATTGAAGATGAAACGTGGCTGGGTCTTTCAGCATGACAATGATCCCAAACACACCGCCCGGGCAACGAAGGAGTGGCTTCGTAAGAAGCATTTCAAGGTCCTGGAGTGGCCTAGCCAGTCTCCAGATCTCAACCCCATAGAAAATCTTTGGAGGGAGTTGAAAGTCCGTGTTGCCCAGCGACAGCCCCAAAACATCACTGCTCTAGAGGAGATCTGCATGGAGGAATGGGCCAAAATACCAGCAACAGTGTGTGAAAACCTTGTGAAGACTTACAGAAAACCTTTGACCTGTGTCATTGCCAACAAAGGGTATATAACAAAGTATTGAGAAACTTTTGTTATTGACCAAATACTTATTTTCCACCATAATTTGCAAATAAATTCATAAAAAATCCTACACTGTGATTTTCTGGATTTCTTTTTCTCATTTTGTCTGTCATAGTTGACGTGTACCTATGATGAAAATTACAGGCCTCTCTCATCTTTTTAAGTGGGAGAACTTGCACAATTGGTGGCTGACTAAATAAATAAAATTCCCCACTGTATGTATGTATGTGTATATATATATATATATATATATAGTATTTAATGAAATGGCATAGAGCTCTCAGATACAGACTGTTCTAATAATGAATTAAGAATTTACAAAAGTATTATTAAAGTACTAAGACAATTATTTATTCATTAATGGCCGGATAACTACTGTGAACGGCTACTGCTATGTTTTTATGCCGGATTACAGTACGTGTACAACATCGAACACTACTGTCTCTGTGTCTCTTCTGTGTCTGTCCAGTTTGTGGAGAGTGTCCGTCTGACCAAGAGGCCCTTCCACCTAGTGGGTACATCCATGGGGGGCAACGTTGCCGGGGTGTACGCTGCCCGCTACCCCAAAGACCTTTGCAGTGTCACCCTCATCTGTCCGGCAGGTAAAAATGTTCAAAAGTCACTTTTCAAAATGGCTGTGCTGCAGCAAATGCACTTTATTAACGTGACATACTCTCTCGCAGGATGACACCAACCGCCAAGTTTACAATCATATAACAACACATTTTTTAAAATATGCTACCTGACAATATCCTTTTTCTATAATGAATTGTGTTTTCAAGTCTTTCTGACAAGTGTGCGTTTGTGGGGCTTGTAGAAATATTCCTAATGTTAATAATTAATAATAATATGTTAATTGTTGCACAAAATATGAATTCTAGAATTCCTTATCCCTATTCTAGAATCCCTATAGGCCTTCGGGATCATTTTCTTAGATGTTTATTTACACTGAACAAAAATATAAACCGCAACATGTTAACACTACCTTTTCACGTGAGGAGAATAACACTATTTCACCACCACATGTCAACTTTCAATTCCACATATGAATATTTATTATTATATGAATTATACTGAACAAAAATAGAAACGGAACATGTAAAGTGTTGGTCCCATGTTTCATGAGCTGAAATAAAAGATCCCAGAAATTTTCCAGACGCACAAAAAACTTTTTTCTCAAAAATGTTGTGCACAAATTTGTTTACATCCCTGTTAGTGAGCATTTCTCCTTTGCCAAGATAATCCATCCACCTGACAGGTGTGGCATATCAAGAAGCTGATTAAACAGCATGATCATTACACAGGTGCACCTTATGCTGGGGACAATAAAAGGCCAGTCTAAAATGTGCAGTTTTGTCACACAGCACAATGCTGCAGATGTCTCAAGTTTTGAGGGAGCGTGCAATTGGCATGCTGACTGCAGGAATGTCCACCAGAGAATGTAATGTTAATTTCTCTACCAGCGTTGTTTTAGAGAATTTGGCAGTACGTCCAACCTGCTTCACAACCGCAGACCACGTGTAACCACGCCAACCCAGGACCTCCACATCCGGCTTCTTCACCTGCGGGATCGTCAGAGACCAGCCACCCGGACAGCTGATGAAACTGTGGGTTTGCACAACCAAATAATTTCTGCACAGACTGTCAGAAACCGTCTCAGGGAAGCTCATCTGCGTGCTAGTCGTCCACACCAGGGTCTTGACCTGACTGCAGTATGGCGTCGTAACCAACTTCAGTGGGCAAATGCTCACCTTCGATGGCCACTGGCACCTTGGAGAAATGTGCTCTTCACGGATTAATCCTGGTTTCAACTGTACCGGGCAGTGGCGTCGTGTGGGCGAGTGGTTTGCTGATGTCAACGTTGTGAACAGAGTGCCCCATGGTGGGGGGTTATGGTGTGGGCAGGCATAAGCTACGTACAACGAACACAAGTGCATTTTATCGATGGCAATTTGAATACACAGAGATACCGTGACGAGATCCTGAGGCCCATTGTCGTGCCATTCATCCATCGCCATCACCTCAGGTTTCAGCATGATAATGCACGGCCCCATGTTAATATAATATGCCATTTAGCAGACGCTTTTATCCAAAGCGACTTACAGTCATGCGTGCATACATTTTTGTGTATGGGTGGTCCCGGGGATCGAACCCACTACCTTGGCGTTACAAGCACCGTGCTCTACCAGCTGAGCTACAGAGGACCACCATGTTGCAAGGATCTGTACACAACTCCTGGAATCTGAAAATGTCCCAGTTCTTCCATGGCCTGCATACTCACCAGACATGTCACCCATTGAGCATGTTTGGGATGCTCTAGATCGACGTGTACGACAGCGTGTTCCAGTTCCCGCCAATATCCAGCAACTTTGCCCAGCCATTGAAGAGGAGTGGGACAACATTCCACAGGCCACAGTCAACAGCCTGATCAACTCTATGTGAAGATGTGTCGCGCTGCATGAGGCAAATGGTGGTCACACCAGATACTGACTGGTTTTCTGATCCCCTACCTTCTTTTAAGGTACAGTGCCTTGCAAAGGTATTCATCCCCCTTGGCGTTTTTCCTATTTTGTTGCAGTACAACCTGTAATTTAAATTGATTTTTATTTGGATTTCATGTAATGGACATACACAAAATAGTCCAAGTTGGTGAAGTGAAATGAAAAAAATAACTTGTTTCAAAATATTCTACAAAAAAATCACGGAAAAGTGGTGCGTGCATATGTGTTCACCCCCTTTGCTATGAAGCCCCTAAATAAAGATCTGGTGCAACCAATTACCTTCAGAAGTCTTTGTTCAGTTTAGATCTTCCTTCCTGGTCTTTTTCAGGTCTTCCTAACGAGAGTCCGTTTGTGGAGCGTCTGAGGGAGATGGAAAAGGAGCAGGAGCAGAGTGGGAGCCTGGACCCCCAGAGGATCCCTCTGATCCCCTCTACCCCAGAGGAGATGGAGGACATGCTCAAACTCTGCTCTTTCGTACGCTTCAAGATCCCTCAACAGGTAGTCATTGATGCATTTCAGTCGCATTACTCAGGCCGGGATTCAATCTGATCGCATCTTGTCGGCTATGCACCTTTTCAAAGCAGTGTTTCCACGTTTGTGGAGACCACATTCATGGTAAACGCTGCATGTGTGTCGGCTCAATCGGAAATGACCTTTTTAAATGTCTTGCGCGCTATCACACGGATCTACTGCTGATCGGATTGAATCCAGGTCTTAGTTTTGTTGCTGTTGCCGGCTGGTCAACATCTTCAGGACTTAGTCAATAACAAAAAACCCGGACTACTACAAGAACTAGTCAAAATCTTCTCTTTACTTGACTTGTTGCCATTTTTTAAAAACAAGAATCTACTGCATGGTTTCCCAATAATTAACTTATGTAACCCATGGTTACAATAACATGTATTATTCTAACAATAATAGTTATTATTTTTGACAGATTCTTCAGGGATTGGTGGATGTTCGGGTTCCAAACAACGACTTCTACAGAGAGCGTGAGGGACTTGGTTGGAACGTCTGGATCAAAACATTCATTGAATAATTGAATGATCTATCGGACTTGTTAAATCACACCTGGTGGAAAGTTTTGGTTCTGTATGTGAACAGGCATTTTCTATCTTTCCTCAGTGTTCATGGAGATCGTAGGAGAGAAGTCCAGACATTCCTTACATGAGAACATGCATCTGATCACAGCCCCGACACAGGTCATCTGGGGGAAGCATGACCAGGTAAGCGTTCGAAGACCGCTGGGTCGTAACATTGCACAATAAAACTGTGGGCGCAATCAACAGTGTATATCTTTCTTTTTATTACAAGTAATGCAAGTTGCAAGTAACTGGATGTGGATACACTACTTCTAAACTCTAGTACACTCTTAGAAAAAAGGGATTTTGTTTTGTATATAATGTATGTGACTATTTTTGTTTTGTTTTCTGTTTGTCTTTATAATTGTAATGAAAATAAATCATAAAAAAATCATAGAAGAAATGGTTCCATCAGGGTTCTTCGGCTGTCCCCATAGGATAACCCTTTTAAAGGTTCTACCTGGAACCAAAAAGGGTTCTTCAAAGGGTTATCCTATGGGGACAGCCAAAAAGAACCCTTTTAGGTTCTAGATAGACCCTTTTTTTTTTTTTTTTTTTTTTTCCCCTAAGAGAGTACCTCTTAATTGTTCTCTCCTCTCCTCTCTTCGTCTCTCAGGTGGTGGATGTGTCGGGAGCGTCTATGCTGATGGAGGCAGTCTCTGGCTGCCAGGTGGACCTGCTGGATAACTGTGGCCACTCTGTGGTGATGGAGCGACCTCGCAAGACGGCTCAGCTCATCGTGGACTTTATCAATAACCAACACAACACTGGCTCTGGCTCTAACAACAGCAAGAAACTCTCCTGAGACTGACTACCTGGAGCTCAGACTTTATAGGACCAGTTTCCTGGACAAGGTTGAACATAGTCCTAGACAAAGAAGCACTTTCAATGGGGGTTTGATCTCCGTTGAACATGCGTTTCAGTCGGGGGACTAGGTTTCAGTCGGAGACTAGGTTTCAGTCAGGATTTCAGTCAGCAACTAGGTTTCAGTCAGGGTTTCAGGTTTCAGTCAGGGTTTCAGTCAGCAACTAGGTTTCAGTCAGGGTTTCAGGTTTCAGTCAGATTAGGTTTCAGTCAGGGTTTCAGGTTTCAGTCAGGGACTAGGTTTCAGGTTTAATCTGTGTCAAGGAAACCAGCCCACAGTGATCGTTTATTGCATCTGTAAATAATCGAATAATCTGTAAATAATCCAATAATCTTGAGTGATATTTTTCTAATCTAGTCCTCAGGGAATGAGGCCTTCACCCAGCTGGCAACTGTTTCATGCTTGAATTTGATTATAAGGCGAAGGAAGACTGTGTAAAATACTGGGATACAATATTGTGGTATTGCATTTATTTGGTGATTTAAGGACCTTAATTTCAAATGTTATATTCTTTGTTTAATTGCCAATGTGTTACTAACTAACTGAGATGATTTTGCCAAACCATGATTTTATATTTTATTTGAGCTTGTGATACCTCTGATTCAGCTGGAGGACTGTGGTTGGTCGGGTCTGAGACTGTTCCCGCCAGAAAACCCAAGAAGTAAAGGAAGATTTCGTTAGTTTGATTTGTCTTGTTGAAGGTTGGTACTTGGTCTTATTATTAACCACAGGACCAACATACATATTACACCTTGTACATTAGGAATATATTGAAGGAACATTTATCATTGTGTTTTAAGAGAAAATAATATGAATTTGAACAAAAACAATGGAGCTATAATGACGTAAGCTTTGTATTATTATTATTATTATTATTATTATTAACCCAAAGTACTTTTTCTTCAAGCACTGCTATATACTGTTATGTGAAATAACCTGATAGTATCGATGCATGAGACGCAGCAACCAATGCACAGCAATGTCTGCATATTTTCAAGTTTGCTTTGTTTAGTTTAAGCTAATGCCATGTCATTCAGTTACACTGAGACAGAAATAGATTTTGTGACACTTTTGTTATCCTTGTACGTGTTAATGCATTGTCCATCTACACAATGTTTTGCTTATTCTTGTAAAGTACAAAATAAAACACTTTTCTCATGCTGACATGAAATTCATGGACCGCTCACATCGGACAGTACTGTTTTGGGGCTGGGCCTTGATTTGGGGTGGAGCTACAGCTGTTTTGGGGCCGGGCCTTGATATGGGGTGGAGCTACAGCTGTTTTGGAGCCGGGCCTTGATATGGGGTGGAGCTACAGCTGTTTTGGGGCTGGGCCTTGATATGGGGTGGAGCTACAGCTGTTTTGGGGCTGGGCCTTGATATGGGGTGGAGCTACAGCTGTTTTGGGGCTGGGCCTTGATATGGGGTGGAGCTACAGCTGTTTTGGGGCTGGGCCTTGATATGGGGTGGAGCTACAGCTGTTTTGGGGCTGGGCCTTGATATGGGGTGGAGCTACAGCTGTTTTGGGGCTGGGCCTTGATATGGGGTGGAGCTACAGCTGTTTTGGGGCTGGGCCTTGACTTGGGGTGAGAAAAGCTTGGTGATATTGATTCAACGGTTGGGGGAAAAGCTTTGAGGAAAGGTTTGGGGGTTTGTTTCAGGTTTCAAGCAACAGTTTTATGAAGGCCAGGGTTTGGATGAGATTGAATGAGCTCAATCCTTTTCATATGATCACACTGTCATCGTGAAGTGCTTTGGGAGTCACCTTACTTGACACCCTAGACCCCACTACAATTTGCATACCGCCCCAACAGATCCATGAACGACGCAATCGCCATTACGCTGAATAAATTCAGATTGAAAACGTGAAAAACTTTCTCGTGAAAATCACACTTTCACATGTGGAATTGCAAGTTCCCATGTGAAAAACAATCACGTGTCAAAATCTATACTGAACAAAATATAAACGCACCATGCTGAGTGACAGTTCATATGAGGAAATCAGTCAATTGAAATAAATTAATTGGGCCCTAATCTATGGATTCCGCATGACTGGGAATACAGATATGCAACTGTTCGTCACAGATACCTTTTAAAAAAAGTAGGGGCGTGGATCAGAAAACCCGTCATTATCTGGTGTGACCACCATTTGCCTCATGCAGCGCAACACATCTCCTTCGCATAGAGTTGATCAGGCTGTTGATTTTGGCCTGTGGAATGTTGTCCCACTCCTCTTCAATGGCTGTGTAGAGTTGCTATATATTGGCAGAAACTGGAACACACTGTCGTACACATTGATCCAGAGCATCCCAAACATGCTCAATGGGTGACATGTCTGGTGAGTATGTAGGTCATGGAAGAACTGGAACATTTTCAACTTCCTGGAATTGTGTACAGATCCTTGCGACACGGGGCCATGCATTATCATGTGATGGTGGCGGATGAATGTCATGACAATGGGCCTCAGGATCTCGTCACGGTATCTCTGCGCATTCAAATTGTCGTCGATAAAATGTAATTGTGTTCGTTGTCTGTAGCTTATGCCTGCCCATACCATAACCCCCACCATGGGGCACTCAGTTTACAACGTTGACATCAGCAAACCGCTCGCCCACACGACGCCATACATGTGGTCTGCAGTTATGAGGCCAGTTGGACGTACGGCCAAAATTCTCTAAAACGACGTTGGAGGCGGCTAATGGTAGAGAAATGAACATTCAATTCTCTGGCAAAAGCTCTGATGGACATTCCTGCAGTCAGCATGCCAATTGTACGCTCCCTCAACACTTGAGACATCTGTGGCATTGTGTTATGTGACCAAATTGTACATTCTAGAGTGGCCTTTTATTATCCCCAGCACAAGGTGCCCCTGTGTAATGATCATGCTGTTTACTCAGCTTCTTGATATGCCACACCTGTCAGGTGGATGGATTATTTTGGCAAAGGAGAAATGCTCACTAACAGGGATGTAAAGAAATTTGTGCACAACATTTGAGAGAAATACGTTTTTAGTGCGTATGGATCGTTTCTGGGATCTTTTATTTTCAGCTCATGAAACATGGGACCAACACTTTACATTTTTGTTCAGTATAATTCACATAATAATAAACATTCACATGTGAAAATCTAACTTTCACACGTGGAATTGGAAGTTCACATGTGGTGGCGAAATAGTGTTATTCTGTTAACATGTTGCAGTAGCAATGTTTCCACGTATGGAAATATGCAAATTCTGTAAAAAGATAACTTTAACCTACCTGAGCATAATAATTCAAGTGTGTTAAAAATTATTATTTCTTATTTCTGAGTTGCTGCAGACGCACACCTCTCTTCATACGACTGTTGGAAGAAGCCCACTGAAAGAACAGAGAAGCATAACGTTAAAATTAGCGCTGTCAGAGTTCATCAGTTAACTTTTTGTAATTTTAGTGGACAATTCATACGTTTGATGGCTCCTAACCAACTGTGCTATTTTGTTTGTTTTTTTCGCATTGTTTGTAACTTATTTTGTACATAATGTTGCTGCTACCGTCTCTGATGAACGAAAAGAGCTTCTGGACATCAGAACAGCGATTGCTCACCTTGAACTTGGACAAATATTTTTTCTTTAATGAGTCCGACGTGAAGGATATACTGCTTCCCCGAGACCAGTCCCAAATCCCCGTCATTCGCTTGAAGAAAAGACGGAATTACAGGGGTGCCTTGTGAGAATTCGTCAGCGAGTGGGTAAACCGCCTCTACCATCCGTTCCATTGGCCAACGTGCAATCACTGGAAAATAAACAGGATGATCTACGATCCAGAATATCCTACCAACGGGACATTAAAAACTGTAACAACTTATGTTTCACCGAGTCGTGGCTGAACGATGACACGGATAATATAGAGCTGGGTTTTCCATCGCATCGGCAGGACAGAGCAGCACGTCTGGGGGTGTGTGTCTATTTGTCAATAACAGCTGGTGCGCAATGTCTAATATTAAGGTAGTCTCGAGGTATTGCTCGCCTGAGGTAGAGTACCTCATGATAAGCTGTAGACCCACTATCTACCAAGAGAGTTCTCATCTATATTATTCCTAGCTGTCTATTTACCACCACAAACCGATGCTGGCACTAAGACCGCACTCAACGAGCCGTATAAGGCCATAAGCAAACAAGAAAATGCTCATCCAGAAGCGGTGCTCCTAGTGGCCGGGGACTTTAATGCAGGCAAACTAAAATCAGTTTTACCTAATTTCTACCAGCATGTCACATGTGCAACCAAAGGGAAAAAAAAACTCTAGACCACCTTTACTCCACACAGAGACATGCATACAAATCTCGCCCTCCATTTGGCAAATCTGACCATAATTATATCCTCCTGATTCCTGCTTACAAGCAAAAACTAAAGCAGGAAGTACCAGTGACTCGCTCAATACGGAAGTGATCAGATGACGTGGGTGCTACGCTACAGGACTGTTTTGCTAGCACAGACTGGAATATGTTCCGGGATTCATCCAATGGCATTGAGGAGTTATACCACCTCAGTCACCGGCTTCATCAATAAGTGCATCGACGACGTCGTCCCCACAGTGACCGTACGTACATATCCCAACCAGAAGCCATGGATTACAGGCAACATCCGCACCGAGCTAAGGAGCGGGACACTAATCCGGACCCTTATAAGAAATCCTGCTATGCCCTCAGACGAACCATCAAACAGGCAAAGAGTCAATACAGGACTAAGATTGAATCCTACTACACCGGCTCTGACGCTCGTCGGATGTGGCAGGGCTCGCAAACTATTACGGACTACAAAGGGAAACCCAGCCGCAAGCTGCCCAGTGACGCGAGCCTACCAGATGAGCTAAATGCCTTTTATGCTGGCTTCGAGGTATTGTTCGTTTTGACTCCACTAAGCCTTTTCCAAGCTCGTTTGTGAGAACCAGTTATAGCCTTCAGTCCTAGTTTTGATTCACCTGCCTGTTTGCCTACTTGTGTATGACCTTTGACCTTCTGCGAAGGCGGAACATCCGTTCATTTTGTGGAATATCTCCGCACCGCCAAAGTGTCTCAATTCCGGCCTCCCGAGTGGCGCAGTGGTCTAAGGCAGGAATCAGGAGGATAGAGTTATGGTCAGATTTACCAAATGGAGGGCGAGGGAGAGCTTTGTACGCGTCTCTGTGTGTGGAGTAAAGGTGGTCTAGAGTTTTTTTTCCTCTGGTTGCACATTTAACATGCCGGTAGAAATTAGGTAGAACGGATTTAAGTTTCCCTGCATTAAAATCCCCGGCCACTAGGAGCGCTGCCTCTGGATGAGCGTTTCCTGTTTACTTATGGCCTTATACAGCTCATTGAGTGCAATCTTAGTGCCAGCATTGGTTTGTGGTGGTATATAGACAGCTATGAAAAATATAGATAAACTCTCTTGGTAAATAGTGTGGTCTACAGCTTATCATGAGATACTCTACCTCAGGCGAGCAAAACCTTGAGACTTCCTTAGTATTAGATTTTATGCACCAGCTGTTATTGACAAATATACACAGACCGCCACCCTTTGTCTTACCGGAGTCAGCCGTTCTATCCTGCCGATGTAGCGTATAGCCCGCTAGCTGTATGTTATCCATGTCGTCGTTCAGCCACGACTCTGTGAAACATAAGATATTACAGTTTTTAATGTCCCATTGGTAGGATAACCGTAATCTTAGGTCATCCAATTTATTCTCAAATGATTGAAGATTGGCTAATAGGATTGACGGAAGAGGCAGTTTACTCGCCGGAACCCATGTATGTGACCTCTGCCCATTTTGAATGTAGGTCAAAACCAGGAAGCGTTGGTGACGAGGCACATTGTAGAGTTCACCGCAGATGTCCAGTTGGACCGTGTTCCCATGGACGGGAGGGCCAGGCCAGTGGCTGCAGTGGTGGTGTGCGGAGGTGGGCCTGTCCTTCCACTGACAAGGTCACGTACTAGCCCTTCGACATCATGATCGATGCCAGGTCACCACACCAGGTCCCTGCAGCGCTGCTTCGGCTTCACAATGCCAAAGGTGGCCTTCATGAGCCATGGCCAACACTCGTCCTCTGAGGCTGCTCGGTATGACGGTGCAGTTTCTGCGAGCCAGACGTGTCATTTCCAGCATGACAGCTCATGTTCGAACCTGGTATATGGTTGGAGTTCCGACCTGGTCTACGTATTCCCGCAAAGGTCGTGAAGATGGGGTCGTTGGCTGATTCTTGGGTCAGCTCCTTGTGCGACACTGTGTCTTGGAGAGGTGAGTGTAGGAGGTGGATGAGGTCCTCCTCGGAGTCAACCTAGGCATAAGTCTGGGGGAACTGAGCGCGAAAGTAGGTCGGCCACCACATTGTCCCTGCCCGGCGTAAACTGCAGCTTAAAGTTATACTGCTGGAGGCGGTCTGACCAGCGGTACATGCGGAGGGGCTTGTGACCCGACCCGGAGGTAGACACGTGAGGTAGGCTGTGAGGGCCTGGTGGTCGGTGCGCAGGGTGAAAGAACGTCCGTAGAGGTACATGTGCCACCGCTCGCAGGCCCAGACACATGCTAGTGCCTCCCTCTCTCCAACGGAGTACTTTTGTTCGTTGGGGCTCAATGCGCGAGACGCGAAAGCCACCGGCTGAAGCTGAGAGAGGACCGCTCCCACTGCTGTGGCTGACACGTCACAGGTGACCAGAGTTGGGCTGGTGAGGTTAAAGTGGGCCAGGACAGGTGAAGTGGTCAGCAGTTCTTTGAGAGAGGATGGCTTCGGGCTGACACGCGGAACCCGACAAATTGATATCGACAATTTGTCGGCAGTACCCAAATGAGGACCTTCTATTCTTACTGATGGTGTCCTGCTATAGTTAGTAGTGTAGATGGACTCCATCCCTGCAGACTTCTGGGGGTCTACGTCTCACTCCTTCTCTTCAATCAAAACGGACACATTCCTCTCTGTGAGACACCACCTTAACAACCATCGCCTTATTATCAACACCCCCAATAACGGAGAACATGTTATAGAATAAAGACTTTATCCTGTGAAACATTTTCAGTTGCTGCCCTCTTAAACCTGATAGATCTTTTGAAGCGATGCTCTAATGCTACACATGGTGTACAGTCGTGGTCAAAAGTTTTGAGAATGACACAAATACTAATTTTCACAAAGTCTGGTGCCTCAGTTTTGATGATGGCAAATTGCATATACTCCAGAATGTCATGAAGAGTGATCAGATTAATTGCAATTAATTGCAAAGTCCCTCTTTGCCATGTAAATGAACTTAATCCCCCAAAAACTTTTCCTCTGCATTTCAGCCCTGCCACAAAAGGACCAGCTGCCATCATGTCAGTGATTCTCTCGTTAACATGGGTGAGAGTGTTGACGAGGACAAGGCTGGAGATCACTCTGTCATGCTGATTGAGTTAGAATAACAGACTGGAAGCTTTAAAAGGAGGGTGGTGCTTGAAATCATTGTTCTTCCTCTGTTACCCATGGTTACCTGCAAGGAAACACATGCCGTCATCATTGCTTTGCACAAAAAGGGCTTCACAGGCAAGGATATTGCTGCTAGTAAGATTGCACCTAAATCAACCATTTATCGGATCATCAAGAACTTCAAGGAGAGAGGTTCAATTGTTGTGAAGAAGGCATCAGGGCGCCCAAGAAAGTCCAGCAAGCGCCAGGACCGTCTCCTAAAGTTGATTCAGCTGCGGGATTGGGGCACCACCAGTGCAGAGCTTGCTCAGGAATGGCAGCAGGCAGGTGTGAGTGCATCTGCACGCACAGTGAGGCGAAGACTTTTGGAGGATGGCCTGGTGTCAAGAAGGGCAGCAAAGAAGCCACTTATCTCCAGGAAAAACATCAGGGACAGACTGATATTCTGCAAAAGGTACAGGGATTGGACTGCTGAGGACTGGGGTAAAGTCATTTTCTCTGATGAATCCCCTTTCCGATTGTTTGGGGCATCCGGAAAACACCTTGTCCGGAGAAGACAAGGTGAGCGCTACCATCAGTCCTGTGTCATGCCAACAGTAAAGCATCCTGATACCATTCATGTGTGGGGTTGCTTCTCAGCCAAGGGAGTGGGCTCACTCACATTTTTGCCTAAGAACACAGCCATGAATAAAGAATGGTACCAACACATCCTCCGAGAGCAACTTCTCCCAACCATCCAAGAACAGTTTGGTGATGACCAATGCCTTTTCCAGCATGATGGAACACCTTGCCATAAGGAAAAAGTGATAATTAAGTGGCTCGGGGAACAAAACATCGATATTTTGGGTCCATGGCCAGGAAATTCCCCAGACCTTAATCCCATTGAGAACTTGTGGTCGATCCTCAAGAGGCGGGTGGACAAACAAAAACCCACAAATTCTGACAAACTCCAAGCATTGATTATGCAGGAATGGGCTGCCATCAGTCAGGATGTGGCCCAGAAGTTAATTGACAGCATGTCAAGGCAGATTGCAGAGGTCTTGAAAAAGAAGGGTCAACACTGCAAATATTGACTCTTTGCATAAACTTAATGTAATTGTCAATAAAAGCTTTTGACACTTATGGAACGCTTGTAATTATACTTCAGTATTACCATAGTAACATCTGACAAAAATTATCTCATAACACTGAAGCAGCGAACTTTGTGAAGACCAATACTTTTGACAATGACTGTGTTTCTGTTTTTGACCATGTTGCTGTTGAGAGGAATTCAATGTGTTCTTTCAGGTTGTGATCAAATGCTCTACTTTCATGGTTTCTACATGTTATATATTTTTCACCATGTTAACGGGTGTTTAATAAATGTACAACCTTTTGAGTTATGTCTATTTTCTGAAGATGCATATACAGTTGAAGTCGGAAGTTTACATAAACCTTAGCCAAATACATTTAAACTCAGTTTTTCACAATTCCTGACATTTAATCCTAGTAAAAATTCCCTGTCTTAGGTCAGTTAGGATCACCACTTTATTTTAAGAATGTGAAATGTCAGAATAATAGTAGAGAGAATGATTTATTCCAGCTTTTATTTCTTTCATCACTTTCCCAGTGGGTCAGAAGTTCACATACACTCAATTAGTATTTGGTAGCATTGCCTTTAAATAGTTAAACTTGGGTCAAACGTTTCGGGTAGCCTTCCACAAGCTTCCCACAATAAGTTGGGTGAATTTTGGCCCATTCCTCCTGACAGAGCTGGTGTAACTGAGTCAGGTTTGTAGGCCTCCTTCCTCACACACACTTTTTCAGTTCTGCCCACAAATGTTCTATAGGATTGAGGTCAGGGCTTTGTGATGGCCACTCCAATACCTTGACTCTGTTGTCCTTCAGCCATTTTGCCACAACTTTGGAAGTATGCTTGGGGTCATTGTCCATTTGGAAGACCCATTTGCGACCAAGCTTTAACTTCCTGACTGATGTCTTGAGATGTTGCTTCAATATATCCACATAATTTTCCTTCCTCATGATGCCATCTAAGTGCACCAGTCCCTCCTGCAGCAAAGCACCCCCACAGCATGATGCTACCACCCCCGTGCTTCACGGTTGGGATGGTGTTCTTCGGCTTGCAAGCCATCCCCTTTTTCCTCCAAACATAACGATGGTCATTATGGCCAAACAGTTCTATTTTTGTTTCATCAGACCAGAGGACATTTCTCCAAAAGTTACGATCTTTGTCCCCATGTGCAGTTGCAAACCGTAGTCTGGCTTTTTTATGGCGGTTTTGAAGCAATGGCTTCTTCCTTGCTTTCAGGTTATGTTGATATAGGACTCGTTTTACTGTGTATATAGATACTTTTGTACCTGTTTCCTCCAGCATCTTCACAAGGTCCTTTGCTGTTGTTCTGGGATTGATTTGCACTTTTCGCACCAAAGTACGTTCATCTCTAGGAGACAGAACACGTCTCCTTCCTGAGCGGTAGGACGGCTGTGTGGTCCCATGGTGTTTATACTTGCGTACTATTGTTTGTACAGATGAACGTGGTACCTTCAGGTGTTTGGAAATTGCTCCCAAGGATGAACCAGACTTGTGGAGGTCTACAATTTTTTTCTTGGCTGATTTCTTTCGATTTTCCCATGATGTCAAGCAAAGAGGCACTGAGTTTGAATGTAGGCCTTGAAATACATCCACAGGTACACCTCAAATCAAATAATGTCAATTAGCCTATCAGAAGCTTCTAAAGCCATGACATCATTTTCTGGAATTTTCCAAGCAGTTTAAAGGCACAGTCAACTTAGTGTATGTAAACTTCTGACCCACTGGAATTGTGATACAGTGAATTATAAGTGAAATAATCTGTCTGTAAACAATTGTTGGAAAAATTACTTGTGTCATGCACAAAGTAGATGTCCTAACCGACTTGCCAGAAACTATAGTTTGTTAACAAGAAATTTGTGGAGTGGTTGAAAAACGAGTTTTAATGACTCCAACCTAAGTGTATGTAAACATCCGACTTCAACTGTAATTATAGTAGACTATATTTTATGGTATTCTGACCTAATCTGATCATAGGGCAACAGAAAATAAGTAGTTTCCTATACAATGTTTTATAGACATCTACCATAACTTAAGAGGTACTTAATGGTGTTCTACAGCTCGATAAATTACTTAGCAATGACCCAGTGTCACAAATGATGGCTTCTATTGATTGTGCAGCATACCCTGGGATACCCTTGGATGTAATATAGTTGGACACATTGGTAAACTAACGTTAGCTGGACATGCTGCCTCGTGCTAGTTGTGTTAAACCCAGCTATAGTTTTGTTTCATTACTGGTAGCTAGCATGTTTTATCTATCAGTGATCATTGCTTTGGTGATTGATTTGATGGGTAGTCATGGATACAGCACACTACTGATTACACAACCAATGACTTGTTCCTCACCATGCAATAATTACTCCAAATGCATCTTCTCATTATTTATTACATACCTTTCAACGTCTGTTGGAAACTGGAAAAATTATTTTCCTCCCTTCCTCTGGACAGTATTGCAGCCGATTGCTGCACATTGCCTCATCTTTGTATCTTCCTAATAATTGCAGTAGTTATCAGTATATTTGACAACAAACACGACATTCCAGCTCAACAATTTCATAATCAAGCAGGAAATTAGCTTTGCATAATGATTCGTTTTTTTTATATTGCTACCCCTCCCCCTAAACAAAATCACAGATAACATTTTACAGTAAACAAGGTATTTATTGATGACATATGTTTCTTATCGTAAAACATTTTTATTCACAGAAGGAGTACTAGTAGTGGAAAAACTTGCAAAGACATCGATTTCTAGCTATTTAAGCCTTAATTAGTACTTAATTATTTTTGTTGTGAATTAGCTTGCCAGCTAGATATCTACTTGGGACAAGCCAGCTAGATATCTACTTGGGACACGCCAGCTAGATATCTACTTGGGACAAGCCAGCTAGATATCTACTTGGGACAAGCCAGCTAGATATCTACTTGGGACACGCCAGCTAGATATCTACTTGGGACAAGCCAGCTAGATATCTACTTGGGACAAGCCAGCTAGATATCTACTTGGGACACGCTAGCTAGATATCTACTTGGGACACGCTAGCTAGATATCTACTTGGGACACGCTAGCTAGATATCTACTTGGGACACGCTAGCTAGATATCTACTTGGGACACGCTAGCTAGATATCTACTTGGGACACGCTAGCTAGATATCTACTTGGGACAAGCCAGCTAGATATCTACTTGGGACACGCTAGCTAGATATCTACTTGGGACAAGCCAGCTAGATATCTACTTGGGACACGCTAGCTAGATATCTACTTGGGACACGCTAGCTAGATATCTACTTGGGACAAGCCAGCTAGATATCTACTTGGGACACGCTAGCTAGATATCTACTTGGGACAAGCC